ACCAAACCAGTATTATAAGAATTGTTAAAGGGTCTTCATTAAGAAGAAGAAAAAGACCAAAATGTGAATAATAAAATGGCAATAACTACATACCTATCAATAATTTAGATGCAAATGAATTAAATGTTTCAATCAAAAACATAGGGTGGATGAATGACAAGAAAACAAGACTCGTATATATGCTGCCTTCAAGAGACCCATTTCAAATCAAAAGACACACTCAGACTTAAAGTAAAGGGATGAAAAAGATATTTTATGCAAATGAAAACAAGATAAAAGCTGGGATAGCAATACATACATCAGGAAAAATATAAGACTTTAAAACAAAGGCTACAACAAAGGACAAGGAAGGACCCAGCAATCCCACTTCTATATATTTATCCAAAGAAACCCAAAACACTAAATTGAAAAGAAAATGCACCTATATCTTTTTAAATTTTTTTTTAATTTTTACACCCATATCTTTAATGAAACATTATTGACAATAGCCAAGGTATGGAAGCAACCTAAGTGTCCATTGATAGACGAATGGATAAAGAAGATATGGTACATATGTACATATATTCACCATGAAAAGAGTGAAATCTTGCTATTTGTGACAAAGTAGATGGATTTAGAGGGTATCATGCTAAGTGAAATAAGCCAGAAAGACAAATATATTACTTACATGTGGAATCCAAAATATAAAATAAATAAACAAACAGAAACAAACTCATCAATAGAGAACATTTTGATGGTTGCCAAATGAGAGTGGGTTGGGACGAGGAATAAAAAAGGGGCAAGGATTAAGATGTGCAAATTAAGGAAAGGAAGAAGAAGGAGAAGGAGAATAAAAAAATATGAACAACAAAACGGCAATATATACATATCTATTGATAATTGTATCTAAAAATCAAACTAAATGAACAAGGAATCTAATAAACAAAATAAACTGATGAATAAAATAGAACCAGAGGCATGGAAACATGGAACAGACCGACAAATCTCAGAGGGAAGGGGAGGTGGGGAGCTATTAATCGAAGATCTTATATGCATATATGATTACCTATGGACACAGATGATAGGGTGGTAAAGGCCTGGGGTGGGGCAGGAACCAGGTGGAGGGGGACAATGGGAGGAAAAAGGGGGACATCTGAAATATTTTCAACAATAAAGATTAAAAAAATGATGTGCAGTTTGCCAGTTATAAAAACTGTTACGGGGATGTAAAGTACAACATAAAGAATAGAGTCAATAATATTGTAATAATTAGTATTGTGTCAGATGGGTATTAGACTTATCAAGGTGATCAGTTTGTAAGTTGTATAAATATCTAGTCACTATATGGTAGACCTGGAACTAATATAATATTGTATATCAACTATAATTAAAACTTAAAAATTATTTAAAAAATAAAATTATGTAAGTAAATGCTAAAGTAGAATTTGCTATCTGTATAATATATGAATATGTTGGTGTATGATATGAGGGGTAAATGTAGAGGAAAGGGCTGGTTCCCAGCTCCACTTAGGGCAGTTCTCTTTGCACCACTCTTTGTTTGACAGGCATAGCATACTTGTATTTACTACATGCATATATAATCATATCTTAATACAAATTGGCCTTTTTTTGCAGGTAGAGGAAACAGCATTTTTGTTTGTTTTTGAAGTAATGCCTTAAAAAACTTAACTTTTTAGAAACTGTAATGTTTATCATGTGATTTAATCATCTGATTGTATTTACAGTTTTAATCTTAATTAGATGTTTTAAGTATTTGCCTATATCCTGAAGCAATTCTATACAGGATATATTTAAAAGAATACTATATGATTTTGGCACCCAAATATGCCCAGTTGATGGCACTTTTCTATTTATGTGAAGAAACTTCAGTGGGATTACTTGAAAAACATAGGCTTAAGTTTTAGCTTTTCTGATATGCTAAGTCATGTATCATGAAGAATTTTTCTTTTCACAAGGTATTG